GGGGCCAAGGCAGCCTTAGCTGTGGACCCCATGCTCAATCAGTGCAAAGCCACGTTAGTGCTGTGGCATTTGTCACCACGTTTTCTCCAGAAAAGCCCAGCATCGAGCTGTATCTCTCAAGAAGTCTAGTACGCACCAGGAAAACGGCCAGAATCCCAGTTGTTACGGGAGGCTTACGGGTCCGTCTTTTAGTATTTGACAGATGGACAGACAAGACGGGAAATGACGCAGAGAAGGCTCTGAATGACGCACTTGACAGGGCTAAAAAAATGCAGATTTAGAAGGAGGGATGAGTCTCTCGTCATGGGGACGATTTGAGAATGAGGAGTTCGTACTCATCTCTGTTAACATGTTAAATGGGTAACAACAAGATGAAAATTTCCGGGAAATGAGCACTTTTCCCAGAAAATACTGATTATTAAGATCCAATCAAGGAAGATGGGAGCAATTAGAGCGACCATATGAGAGCAACAGAAACGCTACGGGAGATCGAGTCGGGCACAGGGGAAGGCTGGTGACGGTGTCGAGGCGGATTCTTCCGTGCCTCAAAGGACGACGCCTTTACTGACGGACTCCGGACGCGGGCAGAGGGCCCAGTGGATTCCTTTGATGATGTGTGCGTTGCTTCGATTCGGGAACCTGACGACTTGGAGCCACAAGGGGAGGGGACAAAAAGCCACAAAGCGCTTGACCCCACCGGTACCATCTACCCCCTCCCCAGGGGTGTTAGCCCTCGGGAGCGGATCGGGGTGACTTGAGGACCACCACACCCCCAAAAAGGCGGACAGGCATTGGTGGCGGGGCACGGGCTTCACTAGTGACACTCGAGAGCCCGGACCCTGTTCCAACAGCAAATGCAGTGCCCGGGGCGGCCGGGGACTGGAAATCCCGGGGCGGGGGGAGGGGGGGGGGAAGCAGGAGGCAGGGCTGGAGAGACGGTCAGGGAGAGACGGACACAGAGACAGAGAGAGATAGCACCGAGAGACAGGGAGAGACAGACACAGAGACAGGGAGAGATAGCACCGAGAGACAGTCAGGGAGAGAAGGACACAGAGACAGGGAGAGATAGCACCGAGAGACAGTCAGGGAGAGAAGGACACGGAGACAGGGAGAGATAGCACCAAGAGACAGTCAGGGAGAGACAGACACAGAGAGAGGGAGAGATAGCACTGAGAGACAGGGAGAGACAGACACAGAGAGAGGGAGAGACAGACAGAGAGAGGGAGAGATAGTACCGAGAGACAGGGAGAGACAGACACAGAGACAGGGAGAGATAGCACCGAGAGACAGGGAGAGACAGACACAGAGACAGGGAGAGACAGACACAGACACAGGGAGAGATAGCACGAAGAGACAGTCAGGGAGAGACAGACACAGAGACAGGGAGAGATAGCACCGAGAGACAGTCAGGGAGAGATGGACACAGAGACAGGGAGAGATAGCACAGAGAGACAGTCAGGGAGAGACGGACACAGAGACAGGGAGAGATAGCACAGAGAGACAGTCATGGAGAGACAGACACAGAGACAGGGAGAGTTAGCACCAAGAGACAGTCAGGGAGAGACAGACACAGAGACAGGGAGAGATAGCACCGAGAGACAGGGAGAGACAGACACAGAGACAGGGAGAGATAGTACCGAGAGACAGGGAGAGACAGACACAGAGACAGGGAGAGATAGTACCGAGAGACAGGGAGAGACAGACACAGAGACAGGGAGAGATAGCACCGAGAGACAGTCAGGGAGAGACACACACATAAAGGGGCCCAGAAAGAGACAGACACAGACACAGAGACAGACACACAGAGACACAGACACAGAGATAGACAAAAACAGGGAGACAGTCAGAGCGAGGCAGATTGCGACAGACAAAGATACAGGGACATAGGGAGATAGCACCAGAGAGACCATCAGGAGAGACAGACAGAGAGAGACAGAGACAGACACAGAGATTAACAGAGACAAAGAGATAGACAGAGAAAGAGATAGCCAGAGAGAGGAGCTCCCTGGCACACAGGAGACAAGTGCATGAAGACAGGATCATGTGTGTTTCCTTATTTCCAGGCAGGGTGCAGGGAGGGGGGTCCCCCTCGAAAAGCAGGCTGGTTGGGCCTCAGACATCCGTCTGGAATGAGGCCTGTGCCTCAGACGCCCGTCCCGAAGGCTTGGACCCCGTGAGGCCATGGGGTCCTACGTGGCCTCTCCAGGCGGCAGCTGGGACCATACGTGCCTGCCCAGGGCTCAGCCACCTCTCCAGCCTCATTCCCCGGCTCAGGGATGCTGGTGTTCACCTGCCCGGCCTTCCTATTCAAGGTGCCCTTTCTGTCCACAAACCCGTCTTCCGGATCGAATGTCCTCCGAGAACCAGCTGGGCTGGTCCTTCCCCAGTGGCCTCCTGTGAGAGTCCGCCCTGCAGAGCAATACTGAGCGATACTGTGCTTTTCTTCCTCTGGACACGCCCGGCCCTCCCGGCCCGCACTGCAAGGCCCTACAAATTGGACACTGAGCTGCTCAGGCACAAACTGGAGTCAGCCACCACCCCGTAAGAAAGGCAACAAGGACGTAAGTCCTGAGTTCTCGTAAGCATTGCTGTCAAAGTGCGCGCAGAAAGGGGAACGCTCATGCACCGTTGCTGGGAATGCGGACTGCTGCAGTCAGTGAGCACAACGGTATTGAGGGTCCGCAAACAGTGAAAAGCGGAAGGGCCCCGTGATCCAGCAATGCCCCCGCTGGGTACACCTCCAACGGGAGTGAAAGCAGGATGAATGGATACAGGACAGGTGGTCCCTCCACAGGACGCAGCACGGCTCAGCGTTAAAACAGAAGGGGACCCTGCCATTTG